TGGAAGGAGAGATCTCCCTCAAGTTGTCCTCTATGCTGGATAGTTTTTTTTTTTTTTTTAATTTTTATTTTACATGTCGATCCCATTTCCCTCTCCCTCCCTCCCTCCTTTTTACCATCTCTCACCCCTCACATGCACCCTGACCATCCTCCCCTCCCATCCCCCACCCCAATTCCACATGTAGGGCAATGCCATCCAGGTGGGGTTATGTAAATCTGTCAAGTCATTTGAAGTAGGGACTAGGACTTCTCTCCTGTCTCTAGATTAAGGCAGTATCCCTCCATGGGGGATGTGTCTGCAAGGTCCTTTTGTGTACCAGGAATACATCCTGGTTCCACTGTCAGAGGTCCCTTAGACTGCTCAGTCCTTCTAGCGGAGACCTATGTTCAGGGAGTCTGAGTCAGTCCTGCGCTGGATTCTCAGATATCAGTCTGGGGGCCCATTAGCTCCTCCTTGTTCAGGTCAGCTGTCTCTATGTGTTTCTGCAACCTGGTCTTGTCCTCTCCATCTGCATCTGGATTCTAGTTCAACTTAGTGTTTAGTTATGGGTGTTTGCTTCTGCTTCCAACAGGTACTGGATGAGGGCTCCATGATGGTGGATAAGTTAGTTATTGATCTCATTATCAGGGAAGGGCATTTATGGTAGCCTTTCCACTGTTGCTCAAACTGTTAGTTGGAGTCAGTCTTGTAGGTCTCTGGACATTTCTCTAGAGTCAGTTTTCTCTTCAAACCAATAATGGCTCCCTCTTTTATGTTCGTTCTCTCTCTGTCTCTCTTTTCTGTCTGCTATTCCTACCCTGACTCAATTTTCCTAGTCGCATGTGCTTTCCTCTCCTCTGATTCTCTTTTTTCTACTTCTCTCTCCATTCACTGCTACCCCCCCCCCACTTCCCATGTGCTCTGGAGGACTTGTCCCTCCCCCTTTCTGTGAGGGACTTTATATGAATCTCTTAGAATACACCTTGTATCCTAGTTCCTCTGGTGGTGTGAATTATAGGCTGGTGATCCTTTGCTCTAGGTCTAAAATCCATATATGAGGAAGTACATACCATGTTCCTCTTTTTGTGACTGGGTTACCTCATTCAGGATGGTTTCTTCAAGTTCCACCCGCTTGCCTGCGAATTTCAAGATTTCATTATTTTTTCTGCTGAGTAGTATTCTATTGTGTAGATGTGCCACATCTTCATTATCCATTCTTCAATTGAGGGGCATCTAGGTTGCTTCCAGGTTTTTGCTATTACAAACAATGCTGCTATGAACATAGCTGAGCACGTGTCTTTGTTGCATGGATGTGGATCATTTGGGTATATGCCCAAGAGGTGGATTGCCGGGTCCTGTGGCAAACTGATTCCCATTTTCCTGAGGAAACACCATACTGATCTCCAAACTGGCTGTAAGAGTTTGCACTTACACCAGCAGTGGAGGAGTGTTCCCCTTTCTCCACATCCTCTCCAGCATAAGTGGTCATTGGTTTTTCTAATTTTAGCCATTCTGGCAGGGGTAAGATGGTATCTCAAAGTTGTTTTGATTTGCTATCAGGGTGATAGCTAAGGATGTTGAACACTTTCTTAAGTGTCTTTCAGGCTTTTTGATTTCCTCTATTGAGAATTCTCTCTTCTGTTCTGTACCCAATTTTTTAATAGGGTTATATGGTGTTTTGTTGACTAGTTTCTTGAGTTCTTTGTGTATTTTGGAGATCAGCCCTTTGTCAGATGTAGGATTGGTGAAAATCTTTTCCCAGTCTGCAGGCTGCTGTTTGGTCTTATCCACTATGTCCTTTGCCTTACAGAAGCTTCTAAGTTCGAGGAGGTCCCATTTATTAATTGTTGATCTCAGTGTCTGTGCTCCTGGAATTATGTTCAGGAAGCGGTCTCCTATACCAATTTGTTCAAGGGTACCTCCCACTGTCTCTTCTAAGAGGTTCAGTGTGGCTGGATTTATGTTGAGGTCTTTGATCCATTTGGACTTGAGTTTTGTGTGTGGCAATAGACATAGGTCTATCTGCAGTCTTCTACACATCATCATTCAGTTGTGCCAGCACCATTTGTTGAAGATGCTTTCCTCCCCCCATTGTATAATTTTAGCTGTTTTGTCGAAAATCAGGTGTTCATAGGTGTGTGGGTTAATATCAGGATTTTCGATTAGATTCCATTGGTTTACATGTTTATTTTTGTGCCAATACCAGGCTGTTTTCAGAACTATAGCTCTGTAGTAGAGCTTAAAGTCAGGAATGGTGATGCCTCCTGAAGTTCTTTTATTGTACAGGGTTGTTTTGGCTATCCTGGGTCTTTTGTTTTTCCATATAAAGTTGATTTTTATCCTTTCAAGGTCAGTGAAGAATTGTGGTGGGATTTTAATGGGGATTGCATTGAATCTGTAGATTGCTTTTGGCAAGATTGCCATTTTTACTATATTTATCCTACCTATCCAAGAACATGGGAGAGCTTTCCATTTTCTGGTATCTTCTTTAATTTCTTTCTTTAAAGCCATAAAGTTCTTATTACATAGGTCTTTCACTTGTTTGGTAAGTGTTACCCCAAGATACTTTATGTTGTTTGTGGCTATTGTAAAGGGTGATGTTTCTCTGATTTATTTCTCAGACTCTTTGTCGTCTGAATAAAATAGGGCTACTGATTTTTTTTTTGAGTTTATTTTGTATCCTGCTAGTTTGCTGAAGGTGTTTATCAGCTGTAGGAGTTCCCTGGTAGAGTTTATTGGGTCGCTTATGTAAACTATCATACCACCTGCAAATAGAGACAGTTTGACTTCTTCCTTTCCAATTTGGATCCCCTTGATCTCCTTTTGTTGTCTTATAGCTTTAGCTAGAACTTCAAGTACAATATTAAAGAGATATGGAGAGAGAGGGCAGCCTTAATTTGTTCCTGATTTTAGAGGAATCGCCTTAAGCGATTAAGGTCAGCCTGGTCTCTACAAAGAGAGTTCCAGGACAGCCAAGGCTACCCAGGGAAGCCCTGTCTTGAAAAACAAATGAACAGTTAAACAAAAAGAAGAGAGTTGAGGGTCATGTGAGGGGTTTGGAGGAGAATATCTAGGAGGGAAGGGAGGAGGAAGTGATGTAATTATATTTCAATTTAAAACATATTTTTTAATTAAAAAATAAAACATTGATGAGAATTTGGTTTTAAAGACCAAGAGAATAATACTAGATTTTGTAATGATTTAAGCATTTCATGTATATGTAGAAGAAATAAAAAGTTAGGATGTGTCAGAGTCAAAAAATCTTAACAGATTGTCTAAGGCACTGGCTCTCAATCCTCCTAATGTTTTTACCCTTTAATACAGTTCTTCATATTGTGGTGACCCCCCCAACCATAAAATTCTTTTTGTTGTTATGAATCATCATACAAATATCTGTGTTTTCTGATGGTCTTAAGTGACCCCTGTAAAAGGGTTATTTGACCTCAGGAAGTTGTGGCCCACAGGTTGAGAACTAGTTGTCTAAGGCAATGCAAAGGATGCCTCAAAATAAATGTTATGCTTCAGGTTTGGAAAGTAACCAGTTTAGAATGGAGTAAAATGCCATATGTTTCAGGAGGGTGTCTCTAAAAGAGTATAAACTTATAACTTAGTTAACAGACTTAATTAGATGGAGAGCACATTGAAAATTATTTTATATAGCTAAGGAGGACGGAAGTCTAATGAAAGCCAAGCCCCCCCCCCAAAAAAAAAGGCAACTATTAACTCTTAAGAAAAACAAAAACAAAAACAAAAAAACCCAAAAAGCAAAAAACAAATGTGACAAAGGAAATGTAATCAAATCACTTATTGCATCAGTAACCAACCACTTTTTAAGTATGGGAGTAGGGAACATAAAATAAAATTCTGTACCTAGTTTCTATATGTATTTCAAATCATTGCCTGACTTTTAACTATTAGTATATAAGATTGGGGAAAAAAAAGTAAGAGCAAAGATGACTGTTAGGATTATATATTTTGACCTAGGAAAGTTATTAAAGGGATATTACTAAGCAAAACTATAACAAGTTAAAACAAATGAAAAAATCCAAAAATAAACTAAAAACCAAGCAAAACTATGAAAATATTTTATTTTTGTAAAAATGATACTATTTTAATATAGGATTATTAATGGTAGTTATCTTGGATATTGTAGAGAAATTTTGTTGTGGAGTATGTCAGTTATTCATAATAAGCACATGTATTATTTTCTGAGAAAAAATGAGATATACTAAAAGAACTATTAAAAGCCCCTTCTCCCACTAAAAATCCTACTCAAGGACAGAGGAGCATTGTTTTTCACATGGAGTAAAAGAATATAATGGGAAACTTGCGCAAAGGCAAGAAATGGCATGAGCATAGTCAAGTAGTATACGTTCTCTTTTCTTATTATTTTACTTTTCATGACAGTCTTGCCATGTACCTTAGATGGTCATGGAACTTCCTGTGTAGCCCAGGCTGGCCTTGGACTTAGAATGCTTCTGCTTTAGGTGCTGAAGCTACTCAAGAAGATTCTATGACTTCAGAAAATAAAATTCAATAGAAAGAATAACATCTGTGATAATATCAATTTTTTTTGAGACAAGGTTTCATGTAGCCCAGGCTAGCCTTGAACTTTCTGTATAGCTGAGGACAACATTGAATCCTCTTGAGTCCACTTCCCAAGCATTGGGATTCTAGGAGTTCCAGCCAGATGGCACCAGGCAAAACTAGCATTTAGACCTGACATTTCTTGAGCTTTTGAATGTGTTAGGCACTATGCTAAGGGCTTCAGATTTACAGTTACCCCTTGTTATTCCTGGGAAATGGTTCTAGTTTATTCCTAGATGCCAGTTCCTCATATAAAATGGAACAGTATAGAACCTATATCTGCCTCAAGGGAATAATAAGAAAATGTATGTATATACTTAGTATAGATATAATTCTTTCGCAAATATTTCAGTTTGCATTGATAGAATACAGAGAAGCTGACCCACAGTTGCAGAGCCAACTGTATTCTCTTATTTAATTTTCACACAAACCCATTACATATACATTCATTTATTAAAATACTGTTTGAACACTTATAATGTGCTAGGTATTAATTAACACAATGTAATTAATTAACACAATGTACCAGCAATAAAATAATTATTGTTTCTGATCCCAACAACTTATGCTCTAATGATGGAAACAGATATTAAAAATAAATATTCAATGACATGATAAACAACATGGAAGATTGAGAGAATAATAAGGAAACCTACTTCAGGTAGAGTGCCCTGGGAAGATCTCTTCCAGAATCTGAAGTGTTTAAATAGAAATATAAAGAATAGGATGAACCCACAGGCACAGGAAGGGCCTTGAGGCAGATGTAAATCACTGTAATATAGAGAATGTTCTTCTTGCAAAGCGGAGCTGAGAGATCACAGAGGCCAAATAGAGAATGGAGAGAGTAAGGCTAGCAGAGTTTCCTGGGCCATGGAGACTGGCTTAGACTCATAGTGACATGAGGAGTCTGCTTGGTTATGAGCAAGTCAGAGAAAGAGCTGGTCTATACTGTTTGTCTTTTGGGCCATGGGCTGCAGGGAGACAAGAGAAAAACTAGAAGAGATATTTAGAGGTGGTTGGTGTATTCAGGTTCCAGATGGGGGAGGGTTGGATTTAGGATGATGATCTACAAGTTGGAAAGAGATAGACATGTTTAATGTACGTTGGAGGTAGAGGCTATAGGCCTTGGTGATAGAGAGGCTGTAATCAGTGATGGTTTTGATTCCTGACTTTAGCAATGTCCTCTTCTTATTTTTTGGCTATGAGATCCAAGCACCAATAACAGGAAACATCCCAGGAGGCCTGTCTGTCTAGTAAATGATTTGTAGGACATGAGTGTGGACCCATCCAACGCCAGACACTACACACTAAACAAAAACATCACACTCTATTTCCAACCAATTACCTCCTACTTGCCTTCTAGAAGGAGAGAAATAATTACCTGCAGAATTATAACCTGTTAGTCAAAACTCTGTTTAGTTATCAAAGAGAAAACAATATGTAGGTGTGTTATCCAAAACAGGATTTGTCCTGGAGTAGATTGGAAGGCAGTTATGGAATTTCCACACTGGAGATCTTGGTACTCTCCAAGCATCTGATCTGTGTATGCAGGACCAAGTCTGACACGATAACCCTGGATATCCAGATTCCATTGCCAGTAGGAAACCAGGCTTTTCTGTTCTCTTCTAAAGGGTCAGTAGATGCGTTCCTTATGAATTCCTTTAAAGTCCTCCACCAACTTACTAGATGTCCTTAAGAGTATTCATCCTGGGAGAAATGGGCTTGTTTTATGAGGAGAGAAAGAAGTAGATTAGTAGGTAGGCCATAGCCTACTTCCATTGCTACAGAGAGGACATGAAAGCCCTGCTGGTCAGATAGTAGAGCTATTGATGGCAAGAAGTAGGATTACATTAAAAAACAAGTAGAGTAATTATAATAGGTAGCCTAAAACAAGATATTTAAAAATTCATCACTTTATTTATTTTGTGTTGTATGTGTGTGTATGTATGTATGTGTGCATGCATGCATGTATGAATGTATGTACAGAGAATAACTTGTGGGGGTTGGTTATCTCCTACAATATGGGTCCTGGGGATTGAACTCAGGTCATCAGGCTTGGTGAAAATTGCCCTTTACCCATTGAGTTCTCTCATCAGCCCCAAGATAACTTTTTACATTTTGGTAATGTCCCAAGACTTTTTTTTTCCCTAGTGGTATTTGGACATCTGTAAAATGGACCTTTTATTTTATTTGCAATATTATAGGTTTTGGAGAGGAGTAAAAAAAAAGTACAAGAACATAGGGGCTGGCAAGAACATGGCTGCTGAGCAAGCATGAGGATTTGAGTTCAAGTCCCCATTCCCCAATGTAAAAAGCTGTGCATATGCTTGTAATGTCAGCACTTTAGGGGGCAGAGGCAGAGAGATTGTTTGGGTTTTCTGGCCACAGGTTTAGCTTTGGGTTCAGTGAGAGGCACTCTTTAATGGAAGTAAGATAGAGAATGGTAGGGGAGGGGACTGATGGGGTGGTTCCTATCCTCACACACATAAGCACAAACCACAGACATATATTAGACAGGCATTCATGCTTATAAAATGAAAGAAGATAAAACAGCCATGGATTTACCTCTCTGGAATGATTAACTATGGAGTAAATTGTCATAGAATCATTTTTTATAGATTTTGGGGTTTCCATTTCCTGTAAACAAACACACAAACAAACAAACAAAAAAGAGTTTTATGCATTTGACTCTCACAGAGACATAAGAGGGATGTGCACACATATATTTTTGGGGAAGGCAGTGTGATGAGAAAGAAGTGGATGCCAAGAGGAGGTGGGGACTACCAGTTTAAACCTGTGACGTTTTAGCAACATTTCTTGAGAAGTAGAAAAGCAACCTAAATAGAAGAGCAACAACATCCCATCAATGCAAAGTTCCCAACTAGAGACCAACAGAATTGTGGTTGTGTGTGAAGGGACAACAACATTGTTGTCTTGTATTGGACTCTATGCTTGCTTCTCCCATCTGTAAGAACTTACATGCCAGACAGTTATTGCAACATATCTTTTGTCTCAGTATTTATTAGCTATAACTGGAGCCATCCTCTTTGCCTGCTCCACTTATCCCTGTTATTCTAATGGTCCAGTCACCACGTTGTGGTCAAGCTTGGGAATTAGAAGTATAGGAATTCCTGGTTTTAATATTTAGAGAATAATTAAGGACCCAGAAACTTTCCAACACACACACACGCACGCACGCACGCACGCACGCACGCACGCACGCATACATGCGTATATATTTTAAAGAAGTTGGCAAATGGGCTAGCCATTAGTATTTTGGGTTTGTTAGAGAGCTTGCTCCCAGCAGGAGTTGGGAATGGCAATTGAGTAAGTGGTGTGAATGCCTTTATTGTCTTCTCTTTTAGGGATCTACTCCCATAAAGCCTGTGATGAGCTTGGCCAGGAGTGTTTGCTTGGGGAATCCAAAGCTTTAAGCTGGGTCATTTCAAGAATGTCACAATCTTTTGGCTTATTTCAGAAAACATGCGGACCAGCTACCCAGTCTGTCTAGTTACCCTGAAAAGTGTCCACACAATCATCTCCATCCTAGGTAGTGGGGACAGAGGGTTTCCTGGTGCTTGACCAAGGCCATCCTATTATGTGGGAGTTCTCTTGCTTTAGTTCTTTTTGTTGTGGAGGGGTTATGATTCTTGCCCTCCATGTCTCTTGAGATACCACTTTAGGCTCTCCTAGCACCCCTCTATCTGGACGACAGCTCCTCCTAGGGTATAATCTCCTCCGATCTATTCATGTGTTCATTGAGTGTCATGCTACATTCAGTAAGGGAAAGGGAGGATATTTAATTTGTACTTACAAGCAGGTTGTCCCTACCCAGAAGGGATAAGACCTACTGGAACACTGAAGAGTTAGAGAATACTGGGAATAAAGTAAAAGAATAAACATTCCCTTAAGGGTGATCATAGCAGACACTGGGATGATCAGCCCCGTGGTTGCTTTCTCCAGTAATGAATGTTGATGATCACGGTGACAAGTTTGTGAGTAAGCATAATAGTAACAATGATGGATGACAGAGTGGAAGGGACTTACCTGCATAGGATGAGTGACTTGTGCATACACAGTATTGTTCCCCGGAGACCCTGGAGAATCTGTGTTCTGGGAGGAATCTACGGTTAACACGAAAAAGGTATGGTTATGGGTGGTAGGACTGCAGGGCTTCTTCCCACAGGACCTTGGGTCTTGCTGATCTCTAGAATACTTTTTATCCCCAAAGCAGTTGTTTATAGCTTGCTCTTCCTTAAGTACTTCTCTTCATCTCCAGTCTTTGGGATTCTGAGCTAAACAAGAACTTTCATGTGGTCTATTCCTAACCTCATTTCTTGGGTGAGTTGACCATGTTCATATGATTTACAGTCTCAAGTGACTCCCTCATGTTCAACACTTAAAGGACTAAGGAGCACCACCCATGGGATCTCTGGAGACAGTGTGACAGATCTGACTGTTTTAGAGATGAAGAACTGCAGGTTCAAGAGAGCCCGGGAGACCTGTCCAAAGCCACTCAGAAAGCAGTGGGACAGGAAGTGTTCTGACCCGACTTTGTGCCCTTCTTCAATAATGGTGTCTTGAAACTATCACCCACAGGATTAGACTTAGAAAATGAGTCTGCATCGGCATCTCTTTACCATGCTTTCTTTTCCAACAGTGTCTATCCAATGAGGTCTAAACCTTGGCTGAACATCAATGGTGCAGTCATGGAGCCTGGTTTTGAGTGTTTCCTGCTCAAGCCCTATCTCTGTCTGAAACCAGCTGGGTGACAGTGGATGGTTTATGTGGTTTATGGATCCTTTCACTGGGGCTTATTTTCTCCCTCAGAAAGGAAGTAAGTGATCTTGACCTTGCCATAGAAAACCGTGGTGCCCCTCACATGCTTGGGAGGAACTCTACAGGTCTCACTGTGACAAATCCGTCTCTCTGATACCATAGGGTCCAGCTGAACAGTGATGTTCTGTTTTCTTTCAGCCCTGTGGCCAGCCCTTCTCTCTCTCCTCTTTCATTTGTAATTAAGAGCATGGATGCTTACCTGGATGTTGACTAGCCAAAAAAAGAGAACCTGAAAAACAAAACAAAACAATAACAACAACAACAACAACAACAAAAAAAAAAAAAAAAAAAAAAAAAAAAAAAACCCTGAAATGCATGACTTTAGTGAGGGAAGCCTTTCTCCCTCCTTTCCTAACAAGCATCTTTCCAGAGGATGCAGGTAACAGGTCCCAAATGAAGGGCAGTTGAGCAAATGTATCCTGCAAATGTGTCCACTTTTCTCAATAGTCACTTCCCTTGAAATATTAATAGACATCTGGTCACTCCCCAGGGCGTCATCCCAATGCACTCATTTAGCCAGAGGTTATGTCCACCCTCCCTTTAGCCCTTGGCAACCAGAGGTCCCAGACCCTAAACACTTGCAGTCTTAGAGGAGATAGAAAAAGGCTGAAGAAAAACTTACCTGTTTTTTTCTTCCAAAGACACATGCATATGCACACAATGACCATAACCAGCAAAGTACCAACAATTATAAACATTTGATGCCACTGTAGATTTTTCTTAGGTAAAACACCTGAAAAGAAGAAGAAGAGAAGTGGATCTTCTTAGTACACATAAATTGAGGATCCTCTGAGCTTGTTTTAGGCCTCTTTTGAGTCTCTTTTGGATTGCCTACAGGGACTGGGTATGGCCATTTAAACTCCCAGTTCAGGGCCCTGTCAGTCTTTCTGGGGTCCCTTCTGGAGGCAGGACAGGTAGGGTCTGGCTGGGGGAGGGAGAAAGCCATCCTGGCTCCTGAGGCTTTGCTCTTGGAAGAGGACTTAGTGGAGGCAAAGAGGGAGACTAATGAGAGGCATAGTTTTAGAGCCTGCCTGTCCCTCTCCTACAGGAGTTTGGCTCCTCCCACCGCCACTGTCTAGGCTCTCACATTGGCTGTGAATCCATGCTATCACACTACATAGCTGCTTGAAGCTACCAGAAAGACCCAAGGCAGAAGTTACCTTTGCAAAGACTCTGGGCAGAGACAGAGACGGACAGATTACTGACAGCGTTCTCAGCTTGGCAGGTATAACTCTGATCACTGGAATTCTTCGGGTCCCAGGAGACAGTGAGATTTGGTTTCCCTAAAGAGATACTTCCTGAGTCCCGCCACCCAACTGAGGCAGTATGCTTTGGATCCTCCACAATACAGGTCAGGTGGATCTCACAGGTCCCATTCTCAAACAGGCGAGTATGGTTGGTAACTTTTAAGTTACTCAGTTGTTCTGTGTAAAAAAGACCTTAGTTAAGGACACATGGCTTGGGCTGGAGAGATGACTCAGTTGTTAAGAGCACTGACTGCCCTTCTAGAGGATCCTGATTCAATTCCTAATGCTCACATGGCAGCTCACAACTTATTGTAAGTCTAGGATCCAACACTCTCACATAGACATACATGCAGGCCAAACATAATGCATATTAAAAAAAAAAAAAACCACATGATTGTTGTGAAATATTTTAACTAGGAATATTACTTTAAACATAGGAAGGTGTGTCCCATTTGTTTCTGCTACATTTTGTAACGATGTAAAGATGTGTTACATTTGTTTGTGCTACATTTGTTTAATCATGTAAAGATGTGTTGCATTTGTTTCAGCTTGGTTGCCTAAGGCACCTGATTGGTCTAATTAAAAAGCTGAGCAGCCAATAGGTAGGCAGGAGAGGGATAGGTGGGGATGGCAGGCAGAGAAAACAAGAAGGAGGAAAAATCTAGGCTTGAGAGAGGAGAGAGAAGAGAAAAGAGAACGAGGGAGATGTCCAGAGTCCATTAGTCAGGCAGCTGCCAGTCACAGCCAGACATGAGAAACTGTGAAAGTGGAAAATACAGACGGAAAGATAAAAAGCTCCGAGGCAAAGTGTAAGTTATAAGAGCGAGAGGGACAAGTATATGATAAGGCTGAGCATTCATAGCTAGTACGTCTCCAAGTCATGATTTGGGTGCTGGTTGATGGCCCACCAAAAAGTCTGCTACACCTGGCTTTGCTCATCAACCTGTGAGAAACATCCTCTACCGTCCTGCCTTTTCTTTCGGTGTGTGCATATGTGTGTATATGGCAGTACGTGTGCATGTGTGTATGGGTACATGCTTACATGCATGTGGAGGTTAAAGGTTGATGCTGCATGTCTTCCTCTATCATTCTCTGCCTTATATTTTGGAACAGGGTCTTTCATCCAACCTGGAGCTTACCACTAGTTGGTCAAGCATAGCTGCCCAACAAGCTCCAGGGGCTTTCCTGTCTCTTCCTCCTTAGAGCTGGGATTACAGATGTTAGCCATCACTCCCAGATATTTATGTGGATTCTGAGGACTGATGTTCAGCCTTCTTGAGGGATGCTCTTTGAGCACACATGAACTTCGTTATCTGTTCTGGATGGCTCTTCCTCCAGATATTCACATGTCTATTCTCTTAACATCAGTAGATGTTGACTCAAAGGTCAGGTCATGTTTTCCATGAGGCCTATTCTGATTGCTTCCTCTAAAATGATTCCTTGGGCCTGTTGTACATTCAGTGACAGAGCACTTTCCTAGTTTGCTCAAGGGCCTAGTTTTGGTCCCTAGCACCATGACTCCTACCTAGCCTGTACTCTGGCGCCACCGATGCCCCAATCCTCTTATTCTTAGCACTCACAGCATACTGTAAGTTTCATGAGGGCAACTACCTTTGTTTTGCTCACTGATGTTTTCCAGTTGCATAGTAGACTGCTTTGTACATTATCCATGGCAATAAATCTTGTTATTTAATGAATAAACATAACATGCCATCATGTACAACACTAAACTCTAGTCAGCTACTCCCAATTAATTGCAAATGATCTAAAAGATATCAAGTTTTTATTCTTTCTTTCTTTTTTTCTTTTAATATTTTTTGGTTTTTCAAGACAGGGTTTCTCTGTATTGCTCTGGGAGTTGTCCTGGAACTCACTCTGTAGACCAGGCTGGCCTCGAACCCACAGAGATCATCCTGCCTCTGTCCCCCAAGTGTTTGGATTAAAGGAGTGTGCTACCAGCACCCAGCTCATTATCCCTATCTTAACACATACAGAGCACATAGTCAGTGTCTGAGGAACAAAAGCTGTATTTTATCCTTGGAAATTCCTTCATGGGTGAGGGGAATGTTAGGACACAGCTCACATATCTTTGTGCGTCTGAGTCTGTGAAGGGAAGGTGTTCCAAGCAGCCCTGAATATGGGTTATCAATAAGTGTAAGGAGTCTGGTTGCTATAGACATAGTGTTCTGACAGTGTCAGGAGACTGGTGTCCCAGCACATGGGACAGAGCCTGGCAGGCAGCATTTATGCTCAGGTGTTCTGCTGCATGCGTGTCAGTTCTCTTCAGAAATCTGGTAATGATCTGACTATCACAAATTAGCCAGGTGATCCTGACTGTAATGTCTGGAACGAGGATATCCCTAAAGAGACACCCATATCTTAAATCCAGACTTGTGTTATCTTACTTGAATAAAGGATCTGTGCAACTTTTCTGTAAACTAGTTGAGGAAGTTACCCCTGACTTTCCAATGACTAGTGTCTGTCTAAGAGATAAGCAGAGGGATGTCTGAGACAGACAGAAGATGGGACATAAAGAGGTGGCCAAGGAACACCAAGGAATCTATAATAACCAGAGCAGAGACACAAAGAGCAGATGGCCTTCAGTCCATACCCAGAACTTCGCAAGAGTAGATTCATGTTATTTAGGCCATGAAACTTGTGAAATTTTGTTCTGGTTACTTGAGGAATCAAATACACTGTTCTGAGGCTACTTGGCTCAGAAAAATTTCTTGTTCAGTGTCATCTTTCAATGACGTCACTTTGACCAGCGTAACAAGGCAAAGTCATCAAATATGCAGGGAATAGAAAGGTTACAGGGTAACCAATTTGTGGAGACATTTTATTTTAATGGTGCCTTTTAAAGAATTCTACATCTTAAGCCAGAAGACTCTAAATGAATTTTAGATCTTGTGGACTCTGCAGTGAATAAAAATTACAGCATCTCAGTGGTCTTTAAAGTTATCTAGTATGGAGCCCAATTCATATATTTATTTTTAAAAATGTAATGACATTTAATTTTAATTTTTATTTATTTTTTGTTTGTTTGTTTTGAGAAAAGCTCTCTGTACATAGTTCCCTAGCTGTCCTGGAATTCACTCATCTGGTCTTGAACTCACAAGAGATCTACCTGCTTCTGTCCCTGGGGAGTGCTGGGATTAAAAGTGTGTACCAGCATGACAAAATAATATTTAGTTAATTTAACTATTTACTTTTATTTTTCTCTGTGTGTCTCTGTCGCTCTGTGTCTCTGTGTGTATGTGTGTGTGTCTGTGTACATGAGTTCTATGGTATGCATAAAGAGGTCAGAGGACAACTTGTAGGAGTCTGTCCTCTCCTTCCACTTGGGCCCTGGAAATCAGACTCAGGTCATCAGGCTTGGTAGCAAGCACGTTTACCTACTGAGCCATCTCACTGCCTGTGGATGCGTCTATTAACTCTACATTTCCGGTTGAAAGGGGAAGTGAGTTGACTGGTGTAGAGAGTCACAAGATGTAAGTTTCTAACTCAGCCCTGTTGCTATTTAGCGGTGCAGCGTAATCAAACTGTTCTACTTCTGGATCTTATGGTGATGCCAAATGCCATCCTTGTTATCACTAGGCCACAGTGCACTCTTGTTGGCACACAGGGTTGACATATGTTACTTGGATTTGTTTTCAGTTTATATGTGATTAAATGTTGTATTCAGACTCACCAAAGACCCTCAGTGTATAAATAGAGAAGTCATGTGTAGAGTCTTCTGTGGTTATCTGTGCTTTGTACACTCCTGCATCTGCCATTGTGAGGTTGTTGACTTGCAAGGAGTAGGACTGGGTGATGCTCAGTCGCTCTCCCTCCTTTGGATTAGTTTTGATGATGTGTGGAGTTTCAGACTTATTTAGCTGGACGATAAGGATTGCAGTGACCTGTGATGCTTCTGCTTCATGATGCCAGACGATGACACTGGTCTCCTTTCCTGCAGGAAGCTCCAGAAGAAGAGTTGCAGACCCCCCTAGGACACCATTCACCACCTTTGGGCTTTGGGTGCTTTGTGAAACTTCATTCCCTGTAAATGAAGAAGGAGCAGGCTATAAAGCTGTCCCAGTAAGCCCCTTCCATTCCTGTATCCTTTCTCTTAATTCTGCCAGTCTGTTTAAGCTCTTTGGAAGAAAGCTAGAGGTGTTATGGGGGAATAAAAAGGGTTAGAAGTGTTGTGGTGGGCAATTAGACTTCCAGTATCTCCACCTCCAGCAAAATATCTGGGAGTTTTGGTCAACAGGCAATTGGTCTAGTTAGATGATCCTGACCCATGGTCTACTTCCACCCTGACTGGTCATACTTTTGTGACCTTAGTCACTGAAATCTTTTGGCACCAATCTGTGAGAGGAATAATGAACTTTATTAACTCCTTGACACAAACTCCAACAATCTCAAGTCTTTGCTGATGGCAGTACTGTCATGACAGCCATTTACAACTTACCTAATGTCTGTCCATGTAGCATGCTTTTGCAACCCAGAGAGTCAATAATAGGGATACTGCATATACAGTTCTTTGTCTGCATTATTTCATTTGATGTTGATACATGTCTTTGAGGCCATTAAAAATGTCTGTTTATGGACAAAGAGACTGAGATATAGAGAGGTTAACTAACTTTTTTTGGTTGTCCATCTAAAAAACAGCAGAGCCAGAAAAGGGAGTTGAACTCCCAGGAAGTGGAGTCACAGACAGTTGTGAGCTGCCATGTTGATGCTGGGAATCAAACTAGAGTTCTCTGAGAGAGCACCCATGCTCTTTCTTAACTGCTGAGTCATCACTCCAGTCCTGTTATTACAACTCTTAAAAGAGGATGCATCTTCAGAGTCAGGGCCAAATTCTTTAAAAATTTTTTTTTAAATTTACATAGCAGTTTTTCATTTATTTTTACATACCAACCAGTTTCCCTTTCCTTCTCTCCTCCTGTCCCCTGCCTTTTCCCAACTATCCCTGCTCCCCATCTATAACTCCTTCATCTCCATTCAGAAAGGGACAGGCCTCCCATGGGCTTGCACAAAGCATGGCGCATCAAGTGAGGCAGCACGGAGGTGGGGCCAGGTAATCCAGCATGGTGGAATGGGTTACCAAAAGCCAGCTAAGTGCCAGAGAGAGGTCCTGCTCTCACTGTTAAAAGCCTTACTAAAAGACCAAGCTACACGACTGTCACACACATGCACATATAACAACCACAAGGACACTTGCTAATCTATGTTCATAGCAATGCAAGTTCTTAGCACGTATTACTGTTTTCTAGAGATCTGCTTATTTGTCACACAGTGATTATGCTCATTTTCAAGCACAGTGTTTGACACATGATAGGATCTGTGGAAATGTTTGGCTGTCAGTCAACAAATAAACCTGATTATGATGTCAGCTTTCTGGGGGACGGGTGTCTTATTTTCTAGGGAAGAGTTGCATATGTGTGTGTATTTATGGGGTGGCCCAGAGAATCCTGAAACACTAACTCAACTCTTGCATGACCTGGCACTTCTGCTTTCTTTCCTGAATTGCCATATGTTCCAGGCACATCTGTGTTGCTGCTACACATCCCCTCCTACACTGTGCTTCCCATCAGCCTTTTGACACATGGCTATTTGTCATTTTGACTTCTCTTCCCTCTCAGAATCACATGAGTAAAACATAGCAAGCAGAGTCTGGAGTTCAAAAGACTCCCTCAAGTACTATTCTGTTTATTTAAAATTAAAACCAAGTAAGACAGGGCTGTACTGTTAGAAATCCTAGGACTCACCAGGGACTCTTCCTCCCACTGCCTAGCATATTATTTAAGTTCTCTTGATTTTATAGATCAAAATGATTAGGTTTTTTTTTCTTTTTTCTTGTGTGTGTGTGTGTGTGTGTGTGTGTGTGTGTGGTTGTGGTTCTGAGACAAGGTCTTATATATAGCCCAGGCTAGCCTCAAACTTGCAATCCTCTGCCTTAGACTCCTGAGGCCTAGGATTACAGGCATGTGTCTCTATGCCTGGATTATTAGTTTTTGTCAAAGAGAATAAATGTATTCTGCTATTTACTTAGTTTTGTGTTAATTTAGCAGGTGAAAATTTAGAAATCATGGCATCAAGACCATATTATTGATTCCCCTTCATATGTCTGCTTCTGATCTAGATCTGTGAAATCCATATGTTGTATGTATGAACAAGTCTTGATTTGCTGGTTTGCTGTCTGTCAGAGAAGACTGACAGGTGAATGAGTAGCTATGATGTGGTGGATAGGCATTGACTTGGAATTAGGTTTGTCTCTGCATTGTCTGAGTACTGCTATTATATCATCTATGTTGTTTCCTGTGTACTCTTACTGTTTAGCACAGTTTCAAGTCAACAAATAATGAATTGATGGAGGTATGAATGTGCTCTGTGAATAGTGAATGATGGACCAGGGACAGTAATGAAGGAGCAAGCCAAAAAAATATGATGTTGTAGGAAGATTTTGAATAACAGGGACTTTCCCATTGCTCAGCAATTTGTAAATTTCCTCAATGATTCTGCTGTCTTTGCACTGATGTTATTTATGTCTGAAATGCTTTCCCCTTCATTTCTACTTGATAAGTTGTTATTTATCTTTGAAAGGTAGCTGAAATACCTGTTCACTTCTGCTTATATTCATGGAAGTTTTCACTGGGGGAGGAAAGGGGAGTTGTATTGAAGGTAGAGAGGTGCATGGACAGAAGGAACAGAAGGAATAGTTCCCTGCAAGTCTAAAACCAGATCTGAGCCAACAAACTTATAGTGCATGAAGATCAGAAGTTACTGAGTATGTTCAAAAGACCACCAGGTGACAGTGGTTTGGCCCAGAGGAAACACAGATTTTTTTTTTTAATCACTCTGGGCCAACACGTTTGGTGTGGGTACTAATGTTCTGAGATATCCATGTGCTCTGCTGGCAGTAAATATGGAAGGCTGGAATCAGAATAGAAGAGCAGAAGTTGGAAAGACACTTCATGGTGCCTCTGGCTGTGGCAGGCTACTTGGAATGTTGGTGGGAGAGGATGGATAGAAAGCATCCTGTTGGCACTCTACAAACCAATGGAGGACCACTTGAACTATGGAGAGGGTGCTGACAGTTTCTGGTGATATCAAACCTGGGAACATTATCTCATACTTTTTATGTTCTACCCAATGGATGACATGTTCTGGGAACACAATGTCTGGCTTAGCTTTTTATTTCTCCAGAAGTTGCTTCAGAGTATTCAGTGAAAGCTGTCTAGACTGAAATTAGAATGTAGAAAGTCTTAATGGGTCACTTGAACATTGAGAGTTAACTTTGTAAAGTATTAGTACATGTACTTTGGAGAAGTAGAAAAGTATGTGGAAAAGAGTGTTTTAGAAAGCATATGGCATAGGCAGGCCTAAGATGGCTCTGAAGAAGAATCAAAATTCACAAGAAACCCTGGTGTTTCTAACCTAGAAGACTTAGGTCTGTTCATAGCCAAAAGGATACAGTGGAATATTTTATTTCCCAGGCAAATGGATTTATTGAGCGAGTTGACAGAGAAAGGAAGAGAAATATAGAGCAGAACTTTTAGGTGGATTGGGATGCAGGAAAGGTGGCCATTAGGATAGCAAGAGCCCTTGGTGAACTTCATTGTCTAAAACAGTCAATGAACTAAAGAGAAAACCAGAGTAGAGTTAAACTGTATCCTGAGAGGTGTGGACATGAAAGCACAGTAAGCTAAAACCTAGGGATACAGCAAAAGCACAGAACAGAGGAGTGTCAAAAGCTATAAATGCTCTCACATTAAGAAAGAAGGAAGATCTCAAGTCAAAAATTTGACAAAGCCACAGACATCAGGCAAGAAAAGTAATGAAAGAGAAAGAAAAAGAAAACAAACAAACAAAATATCCTAACTCTCCAGTGGTTTTCAACCTGTGGGCTTCAACCTTTGAAAAATGCATATTTCTGATGGTCTTAGGAACTAAGATACTGTTCAGTAGCAAAATTACAGTTATGAAGTAGCAACAAAAATAAATTTATGGTTGGGCATTCCTAAGACCATTGGAAATATGTATTTCCAATATGAAAACCACCGTGGAACTAAATGTGGGAAAATCCTTAACAAAATATCAACAAACTAAACTGAACAACAGCATGAGGTTATACACCCAGTTTTGCTGGGTGTGGTAGCTCATTGCTTTAATCTCAGCACTCGAGACAAAGGCAAGTGAATCTTTGTGAGTTCAAAGCCAACCTAGTCATCATAGTGAGCTCTAGGATCCCAGGGCTACAAAAAGAGAAACTGTCTCCACAAACAAAAACAAAACCCCAACAAAAACTAGTGTTTGTATTTCTCAACACTAGCATGAAGAACAATCTATAAAGGAAATGAAGAAAATGATTTCCACTTATAATAGCATCCAAAAGAACAATATAGCTAGGAGTACGTAGATTTGTACCAATCTTGGCCAGAGAAGCTTCTTCTGACATGGGCAACAGTTAATGCAATGACTCAGAGTCAAATGGTGGGACTAAGTGACTGTTGAATGCTCATCCCTAAATAGGACATCTATTTCAACCCCACAAGATTCAGGAAATTTCAGGGAAGATAATGTGGAAAGAATATTGGAGACAGAGAATGCAGAGGGGTGCTGTGCAATGATGTTTTGTAGATGTGACATTACAGTTTCACTAATGAACTCAGTGCAGCTGTGGTTACTTGCACAAGATCAAGCCAACAAAATCAGTCAACATCCCAGCAGGCATCTCAAAGGGTTACAGAAACAGCAACAACACCCCACAAAACAGCTCAGTTCTAGGCAGATACCCCATATGAATTATTGGTTAGGGAGGCCCCAGAGGAGACTCAAACACACTGGCTATTGAAATTGCTCTTGGTTGTCCCCCAAAACAACATGGTAAGACCCTATTGCCAAAGATCCCACTTATTTGGGATACAGGACATAGAGAAATCAACTGCTAACTTAGCAGGGCACTCTCTGCCTGCTGGCTAACTTACATAGTGCCAGAAGGTGCCATGCAAGCTGCTAGAGGAGAACAGATATCAGTGGTCTCTTCCACTG